TATACATAAGTATAGAATTTAGTATCTGCAATTAGAATTTGGCAACTATAATATTTTATGCTGTAACCGAAATTATATCTGTTCATCCGTTACATCTCCATACTCTACTTTACCAATTTTACATAGAAAACATAAAGATACAGTTCTTCTTCATCTGGTGTATTGTTTGGTTGTTTTTCAGAATTGTTGCCCAAAGCTACACACATTGCTATCATAGCTTTCCATGATTTTTAACTAATAGGCTGGAGGCAAAGCAGCTAGCCAACAGCGCCCATTGGAAATTCTTTCTAATCAAATAGTGGGATTTAAATGTCAATTATATAGTTCATTCACGGCCTCAAAGTGCGGAGCGCAATTTTGCAGCAACGGGATGCAAACCATGAACTCTCTTTTTTTTACAATCCGGGCACACGCTAGCCTCTGGCTACGCCACGCCCTCATTTAACGTAAACAGCGATGATATATATATATATGACAAAGCTATGGTAATTTTATTATGATTGTTTTTGCTTTCTCAAAAACATTTTTTATCTTTATGTGCATCGAAAGTTACCCTTAAAGGTGGGTTTGGAGAAAACTATTTTTATCGTGATTTTATTATTTTGAAGACCTGTGTTAAAATGTTTATCTTGTATTCCAGAGTTATTTATTCTAAATGAGGTGTACATAAAGAGATTCTTACGGAAGGTGAAATTCGCTATGTTTCGAAACGAAATAAACAGATGTTAAAGTTTTATTGGTCAAAATCCCTCACAATAAGACAGATAACAACTTAAAACGCATCGTTGTTTACAGGCCCATTACTGTTTTTCAGTAAGAAGCGTATATAATAAAATTTCAATTGCACCATTTTTTTCCCCTATAACACTACCAAAGAGGCCCTCCGCTGAATAACAGAGTTCATCAGGTAATCTGATTATAACATCTTAGTTGAAACGCTGTTTGTATTAACCGTTTATGAGACATTAAGTCTTGTCTGTGTAACAATGATTGATATAAATAGTTTTAACTGAGACTTTGTATGGCAAGGTATATCCATACTGGCGAGTTCTATTTAATGTTAAGCGAAAGGCCTTGTCGGCAGCCACATACAACAAATAAGGTACAGTTCAAATGTTAATATGTGCTCTTCTTATTGGAAACTACTAAGGGGCCAGTAAAGAATTATGCTATCTAAATTATTTTCAGTCTTTTTTTTTTGTAAAATTTGACCATATATATTACTACTAAACTTCATGATCTAGCATTTAAGGCGTACTATACACTCTCATAATCGTATAAATGTTACATCACGTTTGTTAAACAGGAAATGAAGTCAGGTCACGTCTTTTGTTTTTATCTAAAACAACTAAAGAATTATTTGTAATCTATATTTGATACTTCTTTCCAGTAAAAGGTTTCCAATATTATCGAAATTAGGCATTTATGTCACAATAACTCAGTTTGGCGAAATTAAATCACTGGTAAAAACTCTCTCCCGCATAATACATTTTCAAAGTTTCTTGAAAAAGTTACGTATTTTAAAGAATCAAATGCACAGTGTGTTGCTTTTAATTAATGATTTAACATGCTTGATCGTTGGAGAGAAAGCTGCTACCATTACATTATTGTCTTAGGTCTTTTATTTAGCTATTTCAGAATGGATATAAATCTGAAAGAGTGTTTCAGATTTATATCCATTGTGGAATAACTAACTAAGGCTATATGTATAAATTGTGTTTTGGTTTTCTTGAATCATTGGTGGTGAAACCTTTTATGGCGCCCTCCTTCTCTAAGCATGAGTTTGGTTTCGCCTCCCCCTGCACAACCAATTTATATGTATACTACATGACATTTTTATATGTTAATTATTATTGCTACTTAATAGTAGTAATATACTATTTTATAAAGTAGTTTTAAAACTTCATTTTTAAATTTCTACTTTCATATAAAATTTATGTTACTATAGTTATTGTTACACGCCCCTCTCCTAATTTTCCACGTCCCCTTAGTTTGCGCACCACGAAATTAAACTACTTTCCCCTCGTATTTACGCACAAGTTCTTTACGACTAGTTCTTTGCCTACATAAATGTATGATTTTTACTTTCATATTCGCCACTTACTTCTTATTTTGTTGTATTTAATGGTGGTTTAATTGCATGTACAATAAACATTAAAATAATTTGTTATTTGTTTAATATTCCAAAATTTGTCATCTCGGACAATCTGAATCCCTGTTGGGGGAAGAACAGAGAGACAGTGCAAAAGGTGTGGTGTGGATAAAAACATAGCCAATGTTATCAGTTGTAAAGCAATTGCGTTAAGTTCAGTGACACGAGCAGTACCTTTATAATCATTATACTGTAGTTTTAGAGCAAATAACATTTTGTATTATAAAAAAAACGGGAAAAAAATCAGAAGAAAAGAAGTCATGTTCCGAGGTGTTTATGTAGTCAGTAAAGAGTCTGCTAAAGGATGAACAGGAAAAATAGTCACGTTTTTCAGGGCATTACCACTCCACCTCTTCCTACTCTCTCATCATGAACCTTTAACGCTTAACCCATACATCCGCCAAGCATTTACTTAAAGTGGAGGGGGAAATGACATTGAAAACAGACAACTCGCTGTTTTGATGGCGTTATTAAAGGTACATTAACCTACAATTTAAGTACAATGCTCATGTTATAATGCATGTTACAAAGATTAGATGTCTGTACGTGAGTTCGTTATTATGTTAGAAACTTCCACTCTTAACGACAAGCTTTGAAAAGATCAATTTAATTTAATAATGCAATATGACAATAAATGAAAAAGAAAACACACCATATGATAAGAAATATATATATATATAACTTAAACAGTCGGTTAGATTTTCTTTACACTCTTCAACGACACTTTTAAAATTAGGTAGCCCATGTGTACATTCCTTTGTTAAACTTGTGTTTTAGTCGGTTTTGTTGTTTTAACTGAAATTGAACATCAAATGTGATTCATCTCTGACTCCTAAGTAACCATACAGCCAGGCCATAATAGTTAGTATTCAACATCAGATCTAATTTATCGATAAGCCAGCATATCTATTACGAATATATCTGCTTTAATAGAATCTATCCAACTAACTGTAATCATAGCAAACTTTTTCATAGGCCACGCGTTATTATTATTATTATTCACAGAAAATAAGCATTAATGGAGACCGTTTACTTAACATCAAACATTTACTTGAACATCCTACTTTTAATTGCACTTGATTCAAAAACTGCTTCAAAATAACTATTTGAAGCAAAAGAGTTTTCATATGCAGTTGTTAATAATCAAAACACTGGATCTACGAAAATGTTACACAAACATTCGAACAGCATCTAGGAATATTCTATATTTGTTTGTAGTTTAAGCACAAAGATACATAATGGGCTGTCTGTGCTCTGCTCACTACGGGTATTTAAACCAGGTTTCTAGCGCAGACATGCCGCTGTGCCAGTGGGGATATTCTAAGACAAACGTGGCTCGGAAATGTAAACATGTGATTTTAATAATGTAAAATACATGGTCAATATACAACAAATATTTTGGACACAGTATTTGAACAGTGTGAATTTAGATAATTTAAAACCAATATTACGCCATCGTAGTGTTTCCCAAAATTGTATCAATAAACTTGTTGTATCGTTGAGAAAGCTAATGAGAATATTTGAAGTGCAAGTTTCAAAAGTATTTTCCGATTTAAAAGGAAACTATTTTACGAAAAAAACAAAGGTCTTCTTTCTGCCCCATTAGACATAGGATGAGCTTCTTTTTTGGGAATATTTAACAAGAAACTTTACATTTCAGGAAGCACCATAATAAATTTTAAACACTCAAATATACGAGTAGCACTCCAATATTTTTGAAATTGGAATGCAATATGGGGCTAAACATTTGTGGAAGGTTTTCAAAGTTCAAACACTTAAAAAAAATCTAAATGAAATGTCTCTATATTGACAACTGAAAATGTAAATCTTCTCCATGGATCATCATACTAAATTCACAAGTCTTTTACAAGTGTCACGAATTAATTTATTGGCAAGTATTTCTTATGATTTAATTGATCGCGATGAATTAAGTGGAAATTGATAATTACAGGTGTAGATTTCTATTTCTGGCAATTTTTCTCGCTGCATACACTTAGAATCTTAATATGAACTGCTGGTGATTTCGGTAGATCTAGCACGATGGATTCAAATAAGTCAAGTTAAAATGTCTAAATCGGAACATCACGTTATTCCTAGCCAATTTGTGGAATATACTTTAAAGTATTTAAATCTAAATAAAAAATGACATAAAACCAATTGCAAGAATAATATTTTGTATTCCATAATATGTAATGAAGCTTAAATTTTATACATATTTTAAACTACAATGAAAAGGGGTATCGAATTCTATATATAATGCGATTTTGGAAGTACAAACTATTTTTTGAGTTGATAATTTACAATAAGACCGATTACGGGCCTACTTTAGACGTACAAAGCTATAAGCAGAGCAGTGCCTTTGTTTGTTTTGCTTTTTGGCCTCAAAAGAACGGATATAACCAATATGGATCATCAGAATATAAAAAATAAAACTATGTAAAGTCAATGTTTTGAGACATGTTTATGCCAATCAGATATTCCAATGACTGTTTCAGGAACAATCACCTTTTTAAGGTTTATAACATGCGTAAAAATTCCGGAAAACGTTACATTTCATAGTTCCATAGATAATTGTATATTATACAGCACCATTTCGTGAGTATCTCATAATGTAACATTACAAACTTCAACTACAATATACATATATAGTGCTATATCACTCATAAGCTTTGGAATGATAAATTTCATGCAGTTGGAATGTTCAATTCTAAGGTGATCTCAAAAACCTGGCAAGGACAGCTTATTAATTGTTTATTATGACCATTTGTCGGAAGAAACAAATTGCACTTCACGGCTTTGAATGCCTTAAAGTAATAGAATTAATAAAAAAAATATATCAAAAGGCTTCTTTTTTTTTCACGTGAACATATACGTAACACATATACATTAAAGCATCTGTATGACCCCATGTTCCTAATATTCCATTGACATAACCAAATCGTTCCATTTAACTTGGTCACATTCTGTAGTCTAAACAACAACAAATCATGCAAACAAATGATTTGGCATGGATATAAAAAAATATATTGCGTAGTTCAAATCATGCAATTTCATCCGGATGATATTGCTATTTATTGAATTATTTGTTTAACATGTTCATCTCGTCTAGCAGGCTGAAACTGCTGTTACCGCCGTTCAGAACCGGATCTATGTTTAGCAAATCCGAGTCTGTACCCTCAATAAAGTTATTGTCTAAGAAATCTAAATTAAAATGTGTTGGATCATCCACTTGATTGGATTGGTTAGTACTGTCATTGGTTGGATATATATTTCTTTGATTAGTCAAATTAGTGGTTGATGACGCCAGTGTTGTCATCAACATAGTATTAGGTTGACCGTTAGTACTGTCCATAGGGTCCATTCCTGTGTGAAATGTCATTTGTTGATGTGGGTGCATCAGTATTTGGTTATTTTGTAGATGTTGACGTTGTGTAGTTTCGCCTCTCATCGCCTGTTGTGGAACCACAGTTCTTGGGATTATTTGATGATTTAACATATTCATTGTAGGAGACAACATATTTTGTCCCATGGTCCCAAGCGGTGCCCGAGAAAATTGCATGCGGGATGAAGGTTGGCTAATTGGTCTAACACCACTCTGTTGTTGCTGCTGCTGCAAAAGCAATTGTCTCCATTCTGGAGCTACTGCTCTTTGTGATATGTTTAGTCCCTCAGGTCCTACATTGACGTTTGGAGGCCTCTGGGAGCGAGGAAGGCAACTGCTGTACACAGATCTAGTTCGTGACATGTGTCCGGCAAGGTTTGCTGATGTAATATTTGGATGAGTTGAGCTTCCTGTCGTTTGGTTGAGATTTGATAAGGCACTTCCCATACCCACATGTGGCGTTGGAACACAAGCTTGCTGTGTTCTTGCTCTCACTGACATCTGATTCTGCGAAGAAGGATGTTGTAAAGTGTGTACTGTGGATTCGGATACCAGTCCTCTTCTTGAAACATCAGAAGGCTGAGAAAACCGCTGAGACGTCTGAGTAGGATTTAATACTACCATGGAATTATCTGCCATCATCTGCTGATGAGGAGGAAGTACTTGATTGGTAACTGTGTGATGTTTGTATTCCGGTGGAGGCCTGTTCAAGAACTGTTGAAGCTGGATTTCTCTTTGCGAGGCTGTAGCACCTATGTTGTTTTGCTGTACAACGTGTTGTTTCATCATATGTTGGCACATTTCTTCATGAGCGGGCACTCCATTGCTATTACCAGTACCAGAGAACTGGTTTGTAAAGTTGACAGACTGAGTTTGTGACATATTCATCTGAAAGGGTGGCCTAGGAGCAGTGGTGGAATGAGGGTAAGTGGAGAACACTGAAATTTGTTGCTGCTGTTGAGAGTTGCCTGTGGGGTTCTGCTTAAAATCTCGTGACATTTGTAGCTGTTGGCTCTGACAAACCTGTAACCAAAGAAATTTCAGTTGTGTTTATAAAGTGAAAAAATAGGTGAATTGTGACATATGCAAAATAGAAAGTATTTTAACTAAACACAAAACTGTACAAATTCAATCAAATAAAGACTCTTGGTGAATAATTACCTAAATTCATACATTTTGTGATATGATAGTATGCGAAAAAGAACACTTTTTTTTTGCTACGTGGTATGTCTTGAACGTAAATTATAGGTCTGCAACGTATAATTTTAACATAAGTATTAAGATCAAAAACTTTTTTCTAATATCACATCTCTTAAATCTACTACATTAGTAAAAAATATATTGTAAATAGGTATACTTGATGGTAGGAAGGCGTCCTAGAACAAATTATCTTTCTTCTACTCATTTATGTGGCGAGCTGCTATCGCCAACAATGTACAGATGCGGGGGGGGGGGGGGAAGAAAACAGGTTTAACCAGTACCTTGTACTGATAAAAACCAAGAACTTTTAGATGCTTATTTTCATCATACGCTTGTCAAAGCACAGTGCACAAATACTGTTTATTATACATATCACAACCTACTTTTACATGTACTCAATCAGTAAAAGAAAAGCATAATGCACCGGCCTACCATCGCGATATAAAGGTAGCACTTTAAACAACTACAACTTTCAGCTTTCTAAACGAGATTTTTAAACATAAAGTAGCGCCAGGTTGACTAGTTAATATTATGTCTTTTACGGAAAGGCGCAGCAGTAATACAACACAATTTTAACATGTCCAGTTTAATTATTAGCTTTCTAAACGAGATTTTTAAACATAAAATAGCGCCAGGTTGACTAGTTAATATTATGTCTTTTACGGAAAGGCGCAGCAGTAATACAACACAATTTTAACATGTCCAGTTTAATTATTAGCTTTCTAAACGAGATTTTTAAACATAAAATAGTGCCAGGTTGACTAGTTAATATTATGTATTTGACTGAAAGGCGCAGCAGTAATACAACACGATTTTAACATTGTCTAGTTTAATCATTATGTCGTACACAGAACAATAGGAACGACTTTAAAACATTTGTTTTGACATTAATAATATCTTAGTATGTTACTTCAATAATAACCACTACCCAACAAACAAAATCGCTGAGAAAAACTTAATCAGACGTTGTCGTGAGAGTCTCTAGTTTCGTAAGGATAACGAAAATCATTTATTTCTAATCGGTAAGAAAATATGATGAGGCTGTAATGACTGCGGAAGAGCATTACAGTTTTCCAGATAGGGTCAATTTCTCGAAGCAGAACGGTGAATGGCCTTAGGCCTGAGGTCCTTTTCCTGCCATGTCAAAACACAAAGTTAAGACAACTGGGTCGAATATCCTGTGCATTAAAAAGACGCCTAGCAATAGCCTCTATTTTTTACGGCATATGACCATCATGCTCGCATTGTGCGTCGTTAATGAGCATATATCTTTGCATAATGAAATGTGTTTAGATCATTTAAAAAGCTCATTGTTCTTATTATTACCATGATAATTAATATGACCCGTTATTTTGTCATTCAAGTCCCAATAAAAGCTGGAATGAGATTACTTTTAAAAGGTAAACACAAACATTACTTTTACATCAAAGACTGAGAGTTGGTTTGCAATCGAACTGCATGCATACTTGGTGTTTTTGGAGTCTAATATTTATATTTAATACTATAAGTATAATATTTCTAATTCGAAAAAGTCTTAATTATGCCCCACTTTTTAGCACTGTTTGAAGTTTGAAAAAATATTGGTTCCTTTTTTTAATTATCTAAAATAAACAATTGGTTTTAACGTGCATCGTGAAAAATACCTCACATAAGATTAATATAATTTTTGAACATAATCTGAAGCTTTCAGTGGCACAGCGGTATATCTGCGGACTTACAACACTAGAAACCCGTGATGGGCAGAGGACATAAATAAGAAATTAAAGTATCTTGGAGAATACAATAATAAACTGAAAGTAAGTACTGTGCACCATTTACTCGTGCGTTTTTGTTTTAGAGCAAGGCCACTCAGTAGATTATCACGGGGATCGAATCCTGGATTTAAAGTTGTAAGTCCGTAAACTTACTGTTTACCAATGTGATACATATGGTGTCTCAATAAACACTACACGAAATGGTTCATTAAATTTCAATAATTGTAAAACTATGTATGTGACAGACTGCTCAAAGTATTCAAGTAGCTTTACCCTCATCTATCAAAGCGGTCATTTGGCTGAAAATAAAATATCACCAAAAAGCGACAGGTTCCATTGGCAGTTGAATGGAATTCGCCTTAACACTAACCTCTCCCTTCCCCTACCCCCCAAAATATATATGCGTGTGTGTTAATTGCTTACTAGTGAGGATTATCATTCCTTCAAATGATCTTTGCGTACATTATATGTATTGTTCTTATATTCTGTCAGATCTATTTGTATTAATTTGTGTAATTAAGCCATTACGAAGTCTCCAGCACTTCCCCATTTTGAACTGTTTGTTCTTTTGATACTTCCTTCTTCATATCACCGGCTTGGCAATATATATATATATATAGATATATGTAGTGTTTATTCGAGGAACGCCGAAAGCAAATTGACATTTAATTATTGTAGACAAATATGAAAATATACTAAATGTGTTTCAAGTGGTAAAAAATTAAAGGAATTCCAAAACTAAAATCACGTAAGGTGTGGTATGTAGCGCTTGAAACTATTGGTAAAATTACAAAGACTTGTCCCGTCATGCTGCTTCTGTTTCACATTTGTCATACTAACGTGCAGTAATTTTATTTTTATGTTTATCATATTTTTTATCCCTCATGCAGTGTTATCGAAAGCAGTTGTGATCTATTTGAGCAATATATGCTAATTTGAATGGAAAAAAGAAACTAAAATTTATTCTATAAATCCTTCAAGTCCTTGAAACTTAGATATTTATGACATCAGCTTGTTTGTAATGACATTTTTATAATACTTGTTCCAATGTAGAAGAAGCTTTGGGTCTTTGACATTCATCATATTAGTAACAAAATTGTTTATTTATCATAACATAAACATTTTCATGCATATTTAGAAATACAACTTTTAACGATTGTTTCAATTGTAACGCATTTGTTATTATATATTTATTTTAATATCAACGTTTGTTTAGATTAACTTTATATTTTAAAACAAGCGCAGCTTATAGTGTTAAATATGTATTGCAAAATTCCTGCTTATTCTCCAAAGTTGTAGAAGATTCTCAAGAGTAAGAATCAACAATATATGTATGTACGTAAATGCTTAAATGTAGCATTGTATTGTTACATAACTTGAAATTTCTAGAACGCCTCCACTCGCCTATAAATATAACCAACGCGATGCGCGCCAAAGGAGACTATCTATAATT